TATAAATTAGGCGGGTGACATTATGTAAATTGGGGTAGGGGTCAACCAGGCAGATATAACCTGGTGTATGTTAGGGGTGGGTGGAGTGGTGTATCCACAACCTAACACCGTCAACTTAAAAGTTGGTAAGGGATGTGGGGGTGATGTGGGGTGTGGGGGTTTGGGTGGTGTATCTACAACCTAACACCACCACCTTGACCATTGGTGTGGGGGTGGTGTGGGGGTGGGGTGGTGTATCTACCACCTAACACCACCACCATGACACTTGGTGTGGGGTGTGGGGGTGGGGGTGTGGGGTGGTGTATCTACCACCTAACACCACCACCATGACACTTGGTGTGGAGTGTGGGGGTGGGGGTGTGGGGTGGTGTATCTACCACCTAACACCACCACCATGACACTTGGTGTGGGGTGTGGGGGTGGGGGTGGTGTATCTACCACTTAACACCACCACCATGACACTTGGTGTGGGGTGTGGGGTGGTGTATCTACCACCTAACACCACCACCTTGACACCTGGTGTGGGGGTGGTGTGGTGTGTGGGGGTGTGAGGGTGGAGGGTGTATCTACCACCTAACACCACCACCTTGACACCTGGTGTGGGGGTGGTGTGGTGTGTGGGGGTGTGAGGGTGGAGGGTGTATCTACCACCTAACACCACCACCTTGACACTTGGTGTGATGTGGGGTGGTGTGGTGTCTCTACCACCTAACACCACCACCATGACACCAGCTCAAACAAACCGGACCAGCGGCTCAGCTTCCCAAACGTGACTGTACGTGCAGGTCACCGCGCGCCCGAACACGCAGGGCGTAAGTTAAGTCCCTTGGCTAAGTCCTATAACAACATACCCCCTCCCTGCATTCTCCTGGCTTCCCTCCCCTGGACGAGCATCCACGGCCATCAAACAATTACTGCCACATTCCAGTACCTGGTTTTTGTTTTTAACTCATCTGTACACATATAAGACAATAAGGGGAGATCACTGGAGAAAATTGGGATAAAATCTACTAGGTGGATGAGCAATAAAGGGAGATCACTATAGAAAATTGTGATCATAATAACAAGCTTTTATGTAATAATGCACTAAAAAGTAGAAAATAAATTATACACTACTATTTAAATTACTATAAAGAAAAGCGTGGGTATCTTCCTAATTATTAGTAAATGTATCCAATAGATACTTAAGTGACCCACGCTTCTCTTTATAGTTATAAACAGTTGTGTATATTTTCTACTTTTTAGTGCATTATAACATAAAAGCTTGTTATTAAAACGTTTTTTATGCATTTTTAAAATGTAATTTGAAAAACCTGACCGAACTATGACTACATTTCCACATTGGATTTGTATAAACCAAATTTGTATTATTTTGGCCAAATCGACAGCAATTAAAAATTCAATGACCACATTTGGATGCCATTATCCTAATTAATATTACGTAGGCGATATTAAGACTATACAAATCAAATTATGATTAATGTCTTGTATTGAAAATCACTTTAAAAAACTGATGACAAATTAAAACACTTTTCGAATAGCACGACAACCCTTGTTTTTCACTAAAAAAACTTGTAGCGGGGAAAAGCAGGCACTTGATTTGTGATTCAATGTGGCAATTGTTTCCGCTTCTTAAGTCCACTAACACACCCTTAACGTCATTGAATTGTTTTAATTCATAATTATTTTTTTTAATTTCTAGAAAAATACTATTGTGAATAAGATAAGAAACATTAATTAATTAAGAAAAATAGTTTAAAGATATTAAGAATGTATGTCAGAAAACTTGTAAAAAACAATGGTGTCTGGTGTTTGAGTATATAATACTGACCACTGACTGTTATATACTGACCGCTGACTGCTACATTTACTGACTACTGACTGGTATATACTGACCGCTGACTGCTACATATACTGACCACTGACTGTTTATACTGACCACTGACTGCTACATATACTGACCACTGATTGCTATACTGACTGCCACTTTCATTGACCACTAACGGCTCATCTCCATGACCAATGACCAAAGGTGACTGACCACTGGGCGTGATTGCCGTCAGAAAGTTTCCAACTAATTTTTACCATTGGGTTAAAACAAAACAACGGATGGAAACACAGCAACATAACTGTTTCAGAGGAACTGAGTCACTTTGGGTGGATGATAGAACAATATGAGTGTCTGTAATAGAACAATATGAGTATCTGAACAACGGCCGAAAGGTCGTGTTTCTTGAAGTCATTCATCAATGATCCTGGAGCTATATTTAGAAGTTTTGAAGTTTTGTTTAAAGTGGAGGCGAGTGATCATTAAAGAACCTGTCAACACATTTTGGTTTTGTTTTCTTTGATTGCTATTCCCAGAGTAAACACCCTCCCTCCAATACTCTATCACAGAGACAGAAAATGGGACCGATCTAAGGAGTTTGTGAGGCAGTTTTAAGATAGGAACTGATCTAACTTCGTAGAAGGGTTGTTAGTGATGGGGACCGTTTTAGGTTGGGGACCGTTTTAGGATGGGGACCGTTTTAGGATGGGGACCGTTTTAGGATGGAGACCGTTTTGGAGAATAGGACCGGTCAGAGAATAGGACCGGTCAGAGAATAGGACCGTTTTAGTGATGGGGACGCTGTTAAAGACTCTGGCAATTTTAAGGACTATGTTGTTGCGGTAGCGACAAGATATGATTTATAGGGACACCATTGGACATTTAACAGATTTGCAGGACGGCGATAAAGATTCAGTGACACAAATCTCAGGATTATCGTTGGCCTACTCGGGGTGGTCTGAGCGTAAACAATCCAGGTAGATGAGATTAGCGTGTCAGAGTGATCAGATTAGATAGACTAGAGAAAATAGATTAGAATAGAGAAAATAGAATGGGGGAAATAGAGCTGAGAGGACGGCGCTAATTCCTTCATCCAACATTCAAGCGACGCATGACAGACGACCTTTGGCAGATCATTCAAATTAACTAGGTCAAGAGCCGTCACAAGAACCTATTTTTGGAATTTGATTTGATTAGTAAACAAAATTGGTCTTCAAAATCGTGGGAAACAAAATTAACTTGAAAGAAAAAAATAACGAAGGAAAATGTTTTTTGAACTTAAGTGGATATTTACTTTTAGTCGTGACTGTGGCTATTGGCGAGCAAAATTACGGGAAGTAAAAAAAAGTACTGATAGAATAGAAATCTTAGCATATCTATGTCAAGACAATGATGAGTGGTATTTGAGGGACGAAAGGCTTAGAGTGGTGACAGATAGTAATGGTTTTTATCATCACCATGGTATACGTAGTCTATGGCCAGATTATGGGTGGCCCCAATAATAGGTGGCCCCCTAAAATTCTAAACATGGTCTATGGATGGCCCATACATAGGTGGCCTTGATAATGCCAACATGGTCTATAAATGGCACCAAAAATAGATGGCCTCTTTAATGCTAAACATGGTCTATGGATGGCCCAAAATTAGGTGCCTTTAATAATGCTAAACGCTAAACATGGCTTATGGATGTCCCCTTTATTGCTAAACATGGCCTATGGATGGCCCCTTTATTGCTAAACATGGCCTATGGATGGCCCCTTTATTGCTAAACATGGCCTATGGATGGCCCCTTTATTGCTAAACATGGCCCATGGATGGCCTAAGAAAGAGACGGCAGGGATTTCCATGTGATGGCGTGAGCAGATACCAGGGGAGGTAAAAGTGAAGTGGCCACATTCAGAGGATGTCCCATTTGATGGAGGGCCAAAGTTAGTAGATAGTCCAAGATAGTGGATGGCCCAAGTTAGTGGATGGCGCAAGTCAGTGGATGGTCCTATTTAGTTGATGGCCCAAGCTAAAGTATGGCCCAAGTTAGTGTAATGTCGCATTAGATGGACTCGATGGATGGCAAAGGGATGTAATCTATATGGGGTAGACATGTACACCCGGTGTGACTTGGCATATGGGGGGTATATATGCGTCACAAGGATGGGGAGTCAAATTCTCCAGATTGTCAAAATATATTTTCACTGAGACCACGCAATCTTTTTAAAATCAGAATTCTCATGGTTTAAATAACATTATCCTGGATCTCTTGGTTACCGGGACACATGCAAGTCTTAATCAGGCAGCCCACACTACGCCTCTATGCTATATAAGGTAGCAGACAGGAGCATTAGGTAGCCTTAACAGTTGCTACGAGGTAGCCAAAGTAAACAAATCACCGTGTCAACACTATGCACGATGACTCTGTATTTGATTGCACGCCTTTTAAAACCTACGCTCCAGAGTTGAAGAAATCGCGTTAATGAATTGGTTCTGCGACACGTTTTCATTACCTGCCCGCAGGTAGGTTGGAGACAGGTCCAGTGTGCCATTATCCGTGCGCAGTCAAGCGCGCGTGGGCGGCCTTGGCGACCCTGCCGTGTCGCGAGCGATGTGTTGCTGTGTTTAGGCAACCGTTATGATGACGTCACGGGATCTGTCTCAGCGGACGTGCGGGGAAACAAAACACAGGTGGACGTGTGCTACATGTAGCCTGTTTTGACTAGTGCTACACGTAGCCTGAGTCAACTGTTGCTACACGTAGCCTGTGTCAACTAGTGCTACATGTAGCCTGTGTCAACTACTGCTACACGTAGCCTGTGTCAACTACTGCTACACGTAGCCTGTGTCAACTAGTGCTACATGTAGCCTGTGTCAACTATTGCTACACGTAGCCTGTGTCAATTGTTGCTACACGTGGCCTTTGTCAACTATTGCTACACGTAGCCTGTGTCAACTGAGGTTACATGTAAACATTATGTTTTGCTACACATTAAAGTTCAACTAGTGCAACACATAAGCATTGCCAGATAAAATTACATCTTGTCGGCTACTGAGGAAATATTGCTATGAATAAAAATATAAAATGGAAGTTTGGAGATACTATTACTGCAGATTTTCACTATCAACTTAAGATGATTCGAAAAGATACATAATTATTATTAATTAACTAATTAGTTGTCCTTACCTACTTATCCAACATCGCCGAAAATGGAGATAAAAATCCAATTAATTAATATCACAAAAGAATCTAACAAACTTTTGCAATTATCTAACACGTCTCAGCCGTTACGTAACCAACTTCACCACCGTAAGTAACTGTGACCAACTACCCCACAAGAGCCACCAGTTTTCGACTACTTTGTCCTGACCGCCCCGCCACCTTCCCTCGTCTGCTGGTCGAGCGTGCAGCTAATGCGTCAGGTAAGTGAAATGTCAGTCCCCCGTCCCTGAGTGACAGTTTCATCTCTTACCTGCGAAATTTGGACCTGGGCAGATTTGTCAGAGGTGGGAGGGAGGGGAGGGGAGGTCCCCTAAGGTGGGAGGGAGGGAGGGGGTGTCCCCTAAGGTGGGAGTATTAAAACATGTAGGTGTTGTTTTTCTTCTTTGTCCAACACCTCCATCCCCCCTCCTCCTCATCTCTCACCATCCACGTTTTATCCAGAGAAATTTTTCCCCCTTATTTTAATTGTAAAAAAAAACAACAACAAAGTCTATTATGTGTAGCGGCCTAAATAAGCAGAGTTGTAGGATGCTGTAGGATGTAAATTTGTTTACCGGGGTGGCCATCTGATGGCGCAGTAGCCGGTACTGCGTCGAGGTATTTCCATGCTCTGATTTACATTCAGGAAGTGGGGGTAACAATAGGACGCTAGCGTGAAAAACTTCCGTGATAACAGGGACTTAATCTCGACCTAGTTAATCTATTGTTAGACTGGATAAGACATTTGTAGCGCTGTTTGATTTGCTTGGGCACTCTCGGTCTAGTTAGGCTAAATATTGGACTGGATAAGACATTTGTAGCACTGTTTGATTACAAGGACTTTCTCGATTTAGTTAGTATAAATGTTGGACTGGATAAGACATTTGTAGCACTGTTTGATTACAAGGACTTTCTCGATTTAGTTAGGCTAAATATTGGACTGGATAAGACATTTGTAGCACTGTTTGATTACTAAGGCACTCGATTTAGTTAGGCTAAATATTGGACTGGATAAGACATTTGTAGCACTGTTTGATTACAAGGACACTCTCGATGTAGTTTGGCTAATGTTGGACAGGATCAGATTTTTGTAGTGCTGTTTTCTGCTCCCACCCCCCCCCCCCCCCCTTAACATTTTTTTTCTTTTGTGATGTATGTGGACTTTTCTGTCCTGATGCAGATGTATGTGACGTCATAGGTCATATGATGTCACCCCGCGTTATTGGCCGTTCAGGGCTGATGATTTTTAATTATTTACAGATACGTCTTTTTGACGTGTCTTTACTCTTCAACACTGCGCAAGTTTACACCTGACCCTTTGGAGTGACGTCCCTTTCAGAGTTCATGTCCTTACATCATTCCTCGAGATGATGTCACTAGCTTTACATGTTTATACTTTCTTAGCGTGGCCCAGCGGTAGAGCGTGAGACGGGTAACCGGAAAGTCTCGAGTTCAAATCCAGGTTTAAGTCGGTAGGGCGTCCTTGAGTCCGACCAGCTGTTTGAAATTTCTTTCACCTCCATGAAACGGTACTGATGAAATAAAGTACCACTTCCAAATATCTGAGGTCACTCAAAAATTTAAATGGAATTTGGTCTACCTAAATGAAACAGCTTTCAGGTTATCATCTTCACACGTAAATAAAGTAAAGTGCCACTTCCAATTATTGGAAATCGTTCAAAATTTGAAAGAAACATGTGCACACAATCTAACACTTTTATTTCCAAATTTCATCCATTTAACATAAACGGTACTAAAGTTATTGGCTTTTGAGAAACCGGAACTTTAGTAAGTACCACTTCCGGTTACCGGAAGTTACTCAAAAGTTCATACAGAACTACACATTTGATATGATATATAATTTATATATACTTTGATATAATACTAAGACTTATATATATATAATTTATTCAACATAACTGAAACTGTACTTCATGTATTTTGTTCACAAACAGACACACACACGCACAGATATTAGGGAGGTGTAAAACGTCGATAATTGTTAAAATCTCCAATTCTTTTATTTACACGAATACAATACTTCCTATGTACTTTGTATACTAGAAAGTAGAAACGAAATGTTTGATGTTCAGGTAAAAAATTATTATTTATTTTTACGCTCCGATAAAGCAGTCACGTCACAAGCCATTGTTTACACAACATGCATTAACAAACACCGGGAAAACCCCATATCTATAAATAGACAATTTTTTCCAGGATGTTGCGTATCTTAAATGACGTAATAGTCAAGAGGTTGAACAGGGTAGGTAAACCAGATTGTGTGAGGCTACTAGTACTATGTTTCCAATCATTTTTTTAAATTTTTATCTATGAGTGAAGTCTAGGTCACAAGGTCGACGATATTTTTTTATGCGAGAAGAAATTTATAATCCTCAACTGGAATAACCTAAGTTTAAATATGCTTCACCGATTGGCTTTTTCCTCCAGAAGGACATTTTAATAATCAGAATGAAACATTTTAATTATTAGAATTAAACATTTTAATAATTAGCATTAAATATTTTAATAATTAGCATTAAATACTTTTAATAATTAGAATTAAACATTTTAATAATTAGCATTAAAGATTTTAATAATTAGCATTAAGTTAATGATTAGAGGTTAGTAAGTTTTATAAAGGTTAAGTAATATTTTTTTTTTAGAGTTAAAACAGTTTCAATAAGGGATTGTTGTATCTTTATAAACGGAGTTGCCGGTTTGAGTTTTGTTGGTTGTATATCATAAGCTATATCTGGTACAATTAGAACACTACTACTTCAGGTACCTGGGAAAACCAGGCCGCCGTTAAAAGAACCGACCTAAATCTGGGCCGGTTTTAAATTACATAATACGGTTATCGGTACATAACGTTTTAAATGAGCAATTTCTATTGGTTAAAATTTCCCACGCGTCATTGTGACACGTGGAAAGAAAATGATTTACATAATTTTAATGCTTCATGGTTGAGTGGGTTTGGAGAAATGTTCATTTGATAAGCTGGGGTGTAATGGAGTAAGGAAGCTTCTGGAATAATTTGGATCATTTTGTTGCACTACTGGCCCAGAGCCGGCGTTAGGGGGTGGCGAACGGGGCGGCCGCCCCAGGCCCCGCGCTTGAAGGGGCCCCGCGCTTCAGCAACGCCATTGTTGCCTGAGTTAGTTTGTAAACTTAAATAATCTTTGCAGAATTAAATTTAAAAAAAACACAACTAAATGGCCGAAACTGTTGGATGTTAAAACTGAGGCCACGGCTGATGTTAGTGAGTTATCCTCTGCATGGACTGGGACAGACCGTTATTCTAAAGAAAGACATTAGTGTCACACCATCGCTGGCACGGTCGACTCGCTATTGTCCTGAGGTGACTGGAGATGGCGGTCGCGAATTAGCCCCCGACCTGACATGGGAGGTAAAATCGGGAAAAACGTAAAAAGATACCCTATTGTTTGCGGACCGTTGAAGACGTTTTTTTTTAGTGAGCAAGCGGGGGTGCCTGTAGTAAACAGTCAGTGACCTGATGATGGCTTGCAGAGGAGGGGGTGGGGAGGGGGGAGAGAGCAAACGGGGACATGCCCCGGAAATCCAGAGTATTTATCCCTAAAATCAATATTTATACACTGTATGGGCATCTTTTGTGTAATTATGCTTATTCGCCACGATACGTTTGATAGGTATCCATACAGTAATTATGTTCATATTTATTTTATATATTGTTAGGTCATCTTTAAATACATTATACTTGTATTTATTTTTATGTCCATTTTCATTTTGGTAAACTTTAACGGTATTCGTAAAGTGATTAAGCACATGTTTATTTTAATTAATTGTAGGGACAGTGGCGTAGCGAGGTCGGGTGTCACCCGGTGCGGCACTTAATGGTGTCACCCCCCCCCCCCGAGAGGCGTAGCGACCCTTCCCGGGAAAAAACTTTCAAATTTTCGATTTGCACCCCCCCCCCTCCTCAAACTTTTGATTTGCACCCCCCTCAAGTTTTCGATTTGAAACCTTCCCCCCACCTCAAACTTTCGATTTGCACCCCCCTCAAGTTTTTCTCTATATATTTTGCTATTTTTTGCCTTGGTGTCACCCCCCTAAATGGTGTCACCCGGTGCGATCCGCACCTTCCCCCGCCCCCCCCCCCCCCTCGCTACGCCTCTGTGTAGGGATATTCAGTATAATAGTTAAGGCCATAGTGATTCTTGTTTTAAAATAGTGTAGGCACACTAAACAAATTATAAAGTCTATACTGTTTGATACATCGGGCCGAGACTGTTTTATGGTAAAGTTCTCCTGAATTCTAAAACGTCTGAATTACCGGCAGTCCGAGCATGCCATCGCGAAACTCATTAATAACATGAAGCTGGCTGTCACATGGTTCACTTTCTAATTATAGACACGGACCTTCTCTTGTGAGAACGCGGTCTTAATCTGTAATGTAATACGCGGACGCACTATTAACACGCACCTTCTCTTGAATGGCTGCGGTCAGAGATCCAGTAACGTAGTACCCGAACTGATTTTTTTAGGGTTTGGCATCCCATAGATTTAAATGTATAGTTATCCTTCACGGGCTTCACCTGACCCCACCAACTGTCACCACCCCCCCCCCCCCCTCCCAGTGTTCCACCTTACTGAGCGTCCATGATTACATTTGAGAGTCGTTTCATTTGGATATCTATAGCCGTTAACAGTGTTTTTCACGATTTGAGTTTATTCCGAAATCTATCAATGTTTTGCTATTTTCCCCTGCATCCACACACTTCGAATGCCCCTGTTAACACTCGATAAATTGAGAAAATATCGCTACTATCACCTGCCACTGTGGACCGATTTAACGTTGCTTCAAAGTGCCCGAAGGTATTAAGTCAGCCAAACAGTGCCTTCAGTACATTTGGAGTATTCGGGATTCCTTTCCCAATGCGGCGATCGCCTACAGAATCTTGCTAACAGTTCCAGTCACAGTTGCAAGTGCCGAAAGAAGTTTCTCCAAACTGAAGTTGATCAAGAACTATTTGAGATCAACGATGTCCCAAGACAGGCTCTGCGGCCTGTCGATTCTGTCAATAGAAAAAGACATAGCCTCCAGTTTGGACTATGATGATATAATCATGGAATTTTCCTCACGAAAGGCAAGAAAAGTAGATCTTCGTTTGTGAACGTACTGGTAA